TTCACTAAGGTTGGCAGCATACCTGATGCAGGCATTCCTTGTTTTGAAATAAGCAAAATTTACCCTTCTTTGAAAGCAGCTTTTGTAACTTGTGTTTTCTCAAATGAGTTTGGTCTAATTGTGGTTAGTTCTTACTTGTATTTTATTTTAGGAGCAAGAGACTTCATTTCTTCATGTTGTTCCCCAGCCAGCAGTTCCCAAGAGCTGTTGTGTTGATCAGTTGCATTAGAAACCATGTAGTCGAAGTGGTGGCTTAACTTCAAACTGCAGTTTCACGTGTAACAGCATAAGGTGTATCTCCATTGGAGCACAAAGGCTGGGTGGTTCATCTCAGGAAATTTCTTCTGGATGAAGTTCCCATTTAGAAATGGCCTCAGGCTTGCCTTATGTGGTGGAAGTTGCCCTTATGGTGGAATGCTTTCAGCATACATTGCTGTTCAGTGCTGCTGGATGAAGCCCTGAGCTTCAGCTGACAGCACAGCTTTATGTTAACAACATTGTGGTTTCCTTAACACTTATCCCCTGAAGTACAGGGAAGCCCATGCAGGTGGCATTACCTACAGTGGCACAAACAGATCTCTGTCACTATCCCAAAGCACCTTGTTCATATCTCTGGTGAGTTTTTGTTATTCTCTAGTTGCAGTGCAGAGGTATCTGGAAGCTGCTCCACTTTCTAACCTGTGTTTCTTGGTTCCTGGGTTGGATGCTAAACCACATTCAGAAAAGGCTGTATTTCCTTGACTGGTGGTGTTGGGACAGCGAAAATTTACAGCTGAGGTATCTCAGGTTTGAGCAACTATTGGAATTTTGTTAGAATGCCTCTGATTTTCCATTTCCTTACACTGCTAGCTTAGGTAGAAACTGTTCTGGGTGGTGACTGTCTGAGTGTGCAGGAGTGAGGCCAGGCACTCTTAGAGGCAAGGTTCCTGCAGCCCCTCTTTCAGGAGAAGGCAGGTCACTTGGGAGAAAAGGTATAGATCTGAATGAAACCTCTTCAAGGTAAGAAGGTGTAGCATGGCTCCTTCTGCGTAGGAAACTGAGCTGAGTTTTGGTTATCAGGTCCTTGTCACAGGATTGCAGCTGAAGGAAGGTGTGCAGGGAACACATGGTTGAAATAGCTGATCCTATTTTAACTGCCTTCTCTCTCAGTCAGGAAAAACAAATAGTTTTCCAAAGGAAGGGTATTAGCAGGAGCAGGCAGAATATCAAGGGACAAAAGTCTCAATTTGTTGTAAATAGGGCTGTTTGTTAATCTGCGAGAGACACCAAGTCCTCCAGTGAAGCATGTGAGAAATAATCCCTGATGGTAACTGGTCGCTTGGGTTTGAAGACAGGAACAGATCTGTAGCCCCAAAGGCACTGTGCCTTGCTCTTACTACCCAAGTGCATCAATGATGAGAAAGTCGTTCCTGTTCTCTGAAGCAACTCCAGTAAAATTATGAAAAGGTGTGTTCCTGGAAGTGCTGCCCAAAAGTGGGCACCTGCAGTGTAACGAGAATACCTTATTGCTGGTCAGTTGCTACCACTGGTGCTGATATTTTGTTCGGAGACTGCAGATATATTTTCTGTTTTTAAATGCTGTCCTGAGAGATGTTAGCTGAAATATCACATTTCAGCTGTTCAGAGGTCGTTTTTTGTGTGTTGTCCCATTCCTCCCCCACCCCCCGCCCATTTTACTGTGGAGTTGCAGTAACTGCAAGGACTGATCTGTTTTCACACTGTCTGCTAACATTTGCCTTCTAGTGAATGTGAAAACAGCTCTCGATTAAGAAATACTATCTTTCCCCTCGCCAAGTGAAGAATGTGGATTCTTTCACTTACCTTCATTTCTGATAGTAGTGTCTTGGAAGCTTGCACGAGTCTGTTTATGTGGCCTTTGTATTGAGAATCTCAAGGTTACCATCACTTACTGTTCCCTCATTTCACACTTGAGTAGCTGTATGTAGTGTATGAGACTTCGGGTGTTGGTTTTGAGTGTCATGGAACCTTTTCTTCTGGCAGAAGATACCTCCCATGTCTCCTCTTGGAGTCTGTGCTATTGACTGCAGTATTGGGTTGTTGCTTTTGTTTCTAGGCAGGATGAGAATATCAAAACATTGGGGGCATTTTTAAGTTATGTGAAAGTATAAGTGAACTGTGACAACCAGAAGTAAAAAAAAAAAAATATATGGTGTTCTCAACAGCTTTCTAAGTGTTTCAGACAATCCATGTGCGAGTTTACTGTCGCTTTGCAACATTAGGTTGCAACTGCCCAGAAATGTCTCTCCTGTGCTTGGACATGATGTGGCTCTTCAGTGTATGGATCTGTAGCTCTAACAACTGTTTAAAATTTGCCTTCAGCTTTATTTGTGCTAGCATCAGGCATTTATAGTATTAGGCTTACAGAAGCAGTAGTTAGTAGATGTTGGCTTTGGAGTTACAATTTTGCCAGCATCACAAAGAGCTACGGCCATGAAAAGGCTACTGCTCTTATTAAAAATTCTTCCAAATGGAACATGTATAGGAAAATTAATGTTTGTTCCAAGGGGAACAGCTTCTTACTTTAACTTATATGCAAGTAAACAAGCATCATCATAGTTGTATGTTCCAATGAAGGCTGTGACCACTAGGGTGGCCTTAGATAACAAATCCTATTACTAGGAAGAAAGTTGATTTTTGCTTCAGTTTACATCCTGTTGGGATCACTGCAGTCCTGGTCAAATGTAAAGGGGCTATTTTGACTTGATAACATTTGTGGTCCTTGTTTTTTGTTTACCTTTTTTCTAGAGAAATAAAAATTGTGCTTCTGATAATTTGGCCTAACAGACAGATGTAATTAGTAGTGGCAAAATATCCAAATACACGAAAGCTAACACTTGACGCATTCCAAATCTCTAAAGGAATGAAATAATAAATGATAAATTTGTATGTGCTTTCTCAAAGAGCAGAACTACCAATGACATTTTAAAGCAAGGTTATACAAGAAAAGCCTAAAGCCTCCGGTAGCAACACTTCTGTCATCCTGAATGTAGACCTAGAGTAGAGAGAAATGCTATTGCTATCAAAGCATAGCCAGCTCTCTCTCTTTCACTGAAATCTGCATAAGCATGTGATGTAAACAAGGAAAAAACAAAGTGCTTTTTCTGACTGATGATAAATTGTATGCCATGAATCACTGTCAAAATTAAATGGTATGAGAAGAAAATTAGAAATCTAATATGTTTTCTGTAATTCCAGGTATTCATTGATTAAATTAAATGATCCATCTGTACCTAAATATACTTATAGTCAAGTCTTCAGTGGAGGAGGAGAAAGCTGAGTTGTCAGACGGAGTAACAGTATTTTTCTGAATATGCAACTGTGTTGTGCAGCTGCCCCATCTAGTAAAGGCTGCTTCAGAAAGGAGGGAATCGTCTAGATGCTGCTCTTGCAGTTCTCAGTTTGTGTGTGCTATGTAAATGGAAATATGTTGATGTTACAGAATTTTATACCAAGTTTTATGTTGTCTTGCAATATCCTCTTACGCTTTTAGATGTGGAGGATGAAAAACTTTTACTAACACATGGTAAGTAGCTTGATCTTTGTTTTTTTTTGTTTAAAAAAAACCAAGCCAACAAGACTCAAGTCATGGAGCTTCTGGCTTTTCCTGTTGTATTCACTTAGAGGCAGTGTTTTAGGCTGTATTGTATGGCAATATCTTGACAGCTTTCAGACTAGCCAGGTAAAAAGACTGTTTCATTGATGAGGTCTTGTTTTACACTAAGAAAGATCGTTAAGTGTGCATAGATCTGGGGTTCTTCAGATATTGGATAACGTGCAAGAAAGTTTAATGCAGTCTAAAAATGTTGAGGTACTCTTATTGACATATCTGGCATTCTCCCATACCTCTTACCCCTTTCTTTATTCGAAAGGCCTTTGTTAAGTGTAGGTGTTAGAGATGAGGGCTTTGCAGTGGTGGACTTTGCAGTAGCTGCTGTTGATGTAAAGGAGGTGAGACACCAGCAAAGGTAGGGTTCTCTACAGCTCCCTTGAAGGATCTGAAGGCTGTTCAGACCAGGTATCCAACTGGCATTTTGTATTTGTGACTGTGATGAAACCTCTGAGTTTTCCAGAGCCGAGCCCTGAGGGGACTGGGGAGGAGAAGGAGACATTGGTTAGGAGCTTAAAGGTTTCCAAATGCAGGGAATATGGGACTCTGTATGGCTTATGACTGATACTGATTCCCCTTAAGGTGATTTTTCATTTGGAAGTTTTAATACGCAAGCACATTGCTGTTTAATGGTTTGTCATTACTGCTGATGGGGTAGGAGAAACATGGTAGGTAGGACTTGTCTCTCTTTTTGCTGCTGGAATCTCCCTATTTGTAAAGTGCTTTGATAAAACCGTGCATTTCAGTGCTTTTGGACAGACCATTTACAGAGGGACAGCTTCGAATATCTGATGGCCTTGACTTTCATGGGAGACCACTGCCCTCTGACTGAGGGGGATGGTCTTCACACAGGCAGGTGAACTGGTACTAATCAGGCTTCAGTCCCCATTGCAGTTTTCTCTAAACCTTATATTCACTTCTAAGTATGTGCCTAAATGTTCAGAAACAAGAGGCAGCCAAGTGTGAGAGTGGTGATGAATTTTGCAGGTTTCAGAGCTGCTTGAAGTTACTGTCAAAGTAATCCCAGAGTGTGTGTAGAGGGTGTGTCTGTTTTTTAAATATCCAAAATATCTTTTTGACTCAAATGATGAACTGCTTCACAGTTTGCATCTTGTATGCATGTAGTGCCTCAATGTGTCCATGTGTTAAATCTTTCTCTTGAATTTTCTCTTGAATTTAGGAATTCTTTTCTGTCATAAGATGCAGAGTAAAGATGATGTGCACTTAGTTCTTATATTTCTTGGCAGCTGTTCCTTGGAGTAAGAAACTAAATATTACATTATCAGTGTGGTCTAGTTATTTCGTCCACAGAAAAACAGGGAAGCCATAATATAACTTAATTTCTAAAGGTCTGAATGTTTTTCTTCAACAGGAACTGTTCTTATCAGAAGCAGTAGTGGCCACCTAATGCTAGTATCTCAACAAGCAATAGCACGGGCACAGAACCAGTCACAAAATAACACAAGTGTGAGACCATCTGTGCCAACCAGCACGCCTGCAATCAGAATATGTGCTGTACAGGTAACTTCTCTCATAAGTTTAATTTGACGTAGCTGTATGTTATGTTATATAACAGGGTCTGCAGATAAGTCATGGAGAGTTAAAGAAGCGTTTGAACACTTTCTGAACAGCGTGATGGTGTTTGGTTTTGCACCCACAAACATCACCATATGCTTTGCTTTCTTGGTTTGGAAAAACTGCTATTCTGTTACATGTGGTAAAGTTCAAATTACTGAATTCCTCTCTGATGATGATGATGATGTAAATAGTTTAAGAAAAAAAAGTTAACCATCTCTGAAACCGAGTGAAGCTGAGGACCTTTCCTGTTCCTCCTTCCCTGAGCTCTGCTGGCTGTTTGCTTCTGTCTCTTGTGATGTGGTCAGCATGCAAGAGTAAGGAGGTACAATAAAAGTAACAATTTACACTTTCATTTAACTGTTTTATTCTGATTGTGTGTTATCTCTTAAATGTCTCTGAATCTGTTATTGAATATTAAACTGGGAGACAAATAGCTTTGTTGAGCAGCGTTTAAATTATATGGACTATGTGAATGATGCCTGCATTGTTGCTCTTAGAGTATGTGTCTTGGTTTGTATCTGACCCCAACTTCAGTGTCTGGTTTGTGATTGCCTTATATGACAACTGTTCTCTGCTCATATGTAATTATTTTCTATTTTTATTTTTTTAAAGAACTCTGGCACCCAGTTAGTAAAAAAAGTAGCAGCTTCTCCTGTGAAAACATTATCTCAAACAACAAATGCTGTGGTTTCTACTGTTCAGCCACCTGCTGTAATACGGGTAGGTTGCAAGCTTTATAGATGGTAGAATAAGTGACAGGAAGAACTGGAGAAAATATGGATGCATTCTTGTTATTTCTAACTATGATCTGTTTTTTAGTAAGCTCGTTAACCTTTGTGCTCACAATACATTATTTCCTGAATATATTTTTAAATGCATAATTTAATTAGGCTTTTGTCAGTGTGTGTCAGATAATCTTGTCTGTGCTACAGTAGAAAGCACATGCGTAATGAATAAAATAAATAGTTCAGAGAGCCATTTCCAGTGCTTTGGCACAGAGCTCCTTCAGTCACTTGCTGAGTCTTTTCTGGGAGATAAGACTTCCTAATGTGTTCCTGTTGGGACTCCCCGATTCCTTAGGTGGGGCAAAAGGTATAACTTACCTGAGATGGTGTTAAGGGGAAAATGTTGCCAGTCAAACTGGTTTTCATGGGTATGATTTTTTTCCCTCATTAAAAAGTGAAGGAAAGTCGTAGCTGAAGACCTATTCTTTGAGTATGGCAGATGGGTTCTACAGGTAGAACTGCAAATAGACAGTGGTTGGAAATGCCTCATTATTTTTAGGTAATTTTAGTGGTTTTTTCTAATTTTCTAAGTCTTGTTTTGCTTTTTCCAGAGAGAAGTGTTGAGCCTCTTCTGAAAAGGCTCTTATGACCTGTAGAGTATGAGAATTTTCATAGATATGGTTCATCTGTTCTTCGGGACCACAGACTTGTGGATAAGCACGTGTGGTGAAAAAGAAAGCTGCTTTTTCTCTGTGAATAACATGTTCTATTCTCCTCATAGACTGGAGGAGAAATCGTGAAGAAGTCTGGCTTGTACATATATTTTATGAACAAGAGTTTGAAGGAGACTGGGCTGTAGCAGTTGACCAAACACTCAGTGAAAGAGCAGGATCAGTCATTCAAAAAAACATGCTGGATAAATGTTCTTGACCATGAGGGTGTCTGAAGAATTGGGGGATGTGTTCACTGTTAGTGGTAACTAACAGTCTCACTTAGAAGTTTGTCCTCCTGCTGTTCTTCTGTATCAGCAACTGAAAACTACTTACAGACTCTGTCTGTGATCTTTTTTTCTTCCTTTCCACAGATGGATAATGTTGGGGCTAAAGTGGAAAACCCAGAGGCCTCTCTTAATACATATTCTATTTTGCTGAGAATGGAAACAACATATGCTTTTTGTCTAAGAACAGTAATGAATATTCCTTACATTTATTTTGGAATACTAGCTCATAAACCATGTGTTTGTGAGCTCTGCGTAGAGATCTTTAGGATATAAAAACAATAGTCATCTACTATACTACCCTAGTGCTGGGGAGAAGAAATAAAGGTCATCCATCAGATGATGGATGAAGTTGCCTCCATCCCCACACTCTCATGTGGATAAACATTGAGATTCATCATGCAATTAACTTTTCCTTTGGCTTGGTTCTTCTGTACTTTTAGTTCAGTTTTGATGTAATCGACTTAACTTGTGTTCTTCTGAGATATTTAGAGACATAGATATGAAGTATTTTTTGTATGGTTTTTTTTCCTGTTGTAGAAACTTGAACACTTGTTCAGCTGTAGGGCTGGATTTAAACAGCAGGAATGATGACTCCAGGAAAAATTAATAGTGCTGTTTTGTTTGGAGTGGCTTCCTTGGAGCCCCTCTGTTTCGCAGAGGATTACAAAGCCCTCTGTACAAGCTCGTTGTACAACAAAGAGTAAAGAGATGCAAGATGGATACATCCTGCCATCACGTGGTCACTGTGCTCCTCACCCTGGTGTGCACAAGAGAAGAGTGCTGACAAGGAAGTCTGTGAATAAAGTTGATGGAATCGTTTGGGGAAAGGAAGGCAGAGCCCTTGGGTCTGATTTCCTTGGCAGCAATTAATTTATCAGTCTTCAAAGACCTTGCTGATCTTAGTCTTGACAGCTTTTTGAGGTCACAGGAGAGGAGTGTTGGCGTGGAAGTATGATGTCATCACAAAGTGGGGGACAGTGGAGAGGAAATAATTCTTGGTTTGGTTGTATATCTTCTATCTTGTGCAAAATACAACTTGGAACGCTACTATCTGCAAGACTCTCTAGTTACTGACTCCAGGATTGTTCTCCTCCTCTACAAAAATATTTCTGGTTTTGACATTCCTAAATGTTTAAGTTCTGAGGTTAGACAAAATACCTGCACATTTTTATTTTTTAACTGTTTTCCAGATGGGGTAACGAAGCTGCAAAGTGTCTAATTAGCATCATGCTGGGGCACTTTCATTTAGATGCAGAGCACTTCTTCTCTTGAAATGGCTTGAAAATATGCAGGATTGATGCCATTTTTTGTGGCAACTGTTTCTCTCTTGCTCAAAGTGAGAATGAGAATTGTCAGTAGTGAAAAAGGTTGACAGCAGATGACAGAAGTTAATTCCCATATATTCATTTTTCTGGGAAAAGGGTCCAGGAGACATCCTGTTGTTCTCTCCCTCAGCTGATAAAATGCTGTTCTGGTCTTGATGTGTAAGCACGCTGGAATTTGCAAGAGATCAGCTCCTGTTTTCAACTTTTAAAACCCAGGGCATTGCAGCTTGGCAGATAAGCGCTATGTCCCCATCCATCTTCTTGCTGCCCATCTGTTTGTGGGATTCTTGTGCCCAGTTTGCCTCCCTGTGGTCTTAGAGCTGTTGAGCCTCATCCTTGGAAGAGGCAGTGGTGGTGGCAAAGATCCTGCAGAGAGCTATTAAAGTGTTACCAACAGTGGGAGCCTAAGCTGGAAAGCTTTTTGGTAGCTGCCTGCTGCTTTCATGTCAAGCTGGCAGCAACTTGGGAAGGGGGGGGATGCCCACCCAGGAAAAAAAAATTATAAATATATGACAGAAGTGCCAGTGTTTTGCTTTAGCTTTAAGTGTTTGTTCATTAATTTTCCATATCCTGAAAGACTTAAAAGTCCTTTGATACTCTACATGATGTCCGTCCAACTCTTGATTAGTTTTTGTTTTGTCCATAGTAGGGTAAGTTAGACTCCTGTCTTATTGTATTCTGATTAATGCAATTAATAGGTATTAATTGCGATTGTTGGACTGGAGTGTTTAAATGTGTTAATAGTTAGTGAAAGCAATTGCGTTGTGCAGACCTGAGCCTAGAAAATGGGCTCCAAAACCAGACTTTCCTTTCCTCTTGAATGTCTTGGAGGAAAAATTATACTGAAGTTTAGGTTTCCAATGTTAACCTGGTACTCCTTGCTCTTCTGTAACCTGCATGTTCACTCTGGCTTTTCAGTTTTAAAGCTGAGAAATCAAAAGTAGTGGTTTTTGTAGAGGCAACGTCTTTTATTTGTATTGTATTCTGTTGTGTCAAATGAACTGTGATGGGACTTTTCAGTATGGTTTCTTTTTTTCCTATAAAATCTGAAGTAGAATTACTTCAGTTTAGTATGTTTTCATTTAGAAACTATGATTTAGCCTAGTTTGCAAAGGAAGGAGGTATTTTTTTCTAAAACTTAATTACTCTCCTGTTACTGGAGTTTCTGAGTCTGTTGGTAAATTATAATGAGATTTTTAAAAGAGGTCTCAAAATAACTGAATTTTGTGAGGGTTTCTGTCAGGGCAGAGGAGAAAGAGAGCCAAATTGCTACCCACAAGGAAAAGGCAGGAAGAACTTGTTAGGTCCGTTTGCTGAGCTGGCTGCTTCTGCTGGCACGTGCAACCTTCCGAAGTGGACATGATGTCATCTGCCTACTCTGAGTGTGATAGGAAGAGCAAGGGATGTTGCAGTTGGGAGAGGAGCTTCACGGCGAGAATGGAAGATAAATAATCACTTAACATTGTGTTTATCTTTGGAATAGTACCACCTGGCTTAGCATTGTCCAGAGTTCATTAGTCTTAGACAGTAGAAACCTGACAAAGTTAATATATTGCTTTCTTAAAGACAACTGTACCTTTCTCTCTTCTTTCAAAGTTGCAGGCAGTGCTTTCAGCCTGGACACACCTTTGTAATTTCACCCCCCCCCTTGATTTATAAACAGAATTATGGCTGTGAGGGTTCTGTCACTTGCTGTATTTATTAGAGCCTGTCTAAGCAAATGAATGTAAACTCTTAAAAACAAAGAGAAAAATCATTTATTTGTATCTTAAATGGTAGCGTGGAGGGAGGTTGCTACCTTATATGCTGGCAGAATCCAGTATGTTTGTCACGTTGTTCTTTGGTTAAAAAGTGTTAATTTTTCTCTTCAGCCAACAGCTGCAACACCTAATGTTACTACAGTTACTGCTGCAAAGCCTTCGAGTACTGGAACACCTGTAAAACTTCCAGTTACAGGACCACCTGCACAAGCTATCTCCCAAAAGGCAGTCTCTGTGAAAGCAGAGGGCACAACAGTAGCACAGACCAGCGCTTCTACAGTAAGGGGAAAAAAAAAAAAAACGCTTTTAATTAAAAATTAACATTCTGTATGTTCATCAGAGTTTGGAGAGACAGTACAGCATCTAACAGTCTTCTCTTTATTTCCACACTAGGAGATGCTAGAGAATGTGAAGAAATGCAAGAATTTTCTTGCTACGCTAATAAAATTGGCATCTAGTGGACCTCAAGCCCCTGAGATGGGGCAGAATGTGAAGAATCTGGTGCAAAATCTATTGGTGAGACTTTTTTTAAAAACAAAGCTTGCATCATTTGCATGTAGATTTTGTCATTTGCTTTATCATAGTTTTGTTCCTTGTCTTTTTTTTTTTTATTAAACAGCTGAAGAGATGGATTTGTGACTGAGTACCTCTGATCCCTCTCTACATCTTACGTGATAACTCTTACTTTGAATCCCATGCTGTGTTATTTTCCCCCCTCACTTGTGTTTCATTTTATACTGGTAATTGACAGCAGGAAGAGCTGATAGTGTTAGCACAGCTTCTGGGTCTGAACTGCATTTTCTTTCATGTTAGCATTGTTTTGAGTCCTCAGTAGCAAGAATATCACTGTGTAGGTTGTAGTGCAGTGCTAAGTCCATACTACTGCTTTGCTCCAAGACAGAACTGACTTAAGAGTTGACAGTGAAGCTCCAGTGGAACAAGCGTGACATTATCAATGTCTTTAAACAGTGGGATGGAGAAAACAATGTGGTGTCTGCCAACCACTCTCTGCTTGCAGGTGGCTTCCATGTGCTGCTTTGGGCTGCACCCCAGCACAGCTGGGCTTTCTTGGTAAGATTTTCTCCTGCCACTTCTTGTCGTGGCATTTGACCCCTGCTGCTGTTCTGTTGTTCCACCAGAGCAGAAGGCTGTGTGCTGATGGAGGAGGATGACTTTGCTAGTGGTACCAAAGGACTTTTCAGTCTAGAAAAGTGTGGTGTAGAGAGGGGTAATTTCAGAGAGCAGATTGTTTGAAGAATGCAGCCTTGCAAAAAATTAATTCCTCTGCCTCTCTGTCACTGCTGGACTACAGACCTCCTGTTTTTGTGCTTTTGTGGTTTATTTTGGGTTTTTTAGAGCAGTTGTTGCCGTAGACTAATACATTGTTAACTGTGCGTTTGTTTTTTGGAGTATTTGAAAATCTGCCATTCAGGATGTGCAAAATAAATCAATATATTGTACGTAGAAATGAATAAATGGCAGCTGTGAAATAAAGTGGTTCTTAAGGCAGTGTTTCATGAAGTGGGTGTCAAGCACCTTGTATGCACTGAGATGTAGTTTATCAAACACTTGGGTCTGTGTCACTGAGACCTCAGTGATCCACATCCACATCTCTGTGGGATCTGACAGGCAACAGATCAAATGACTAAATGAGAGAACTGCTGTAAGTTCTGTTTGTCTGTGAATACACGGCATTTAAAATCCTTGCTCTGGTTATGTAGCAGCTTGGAACAGTTGTTCCAAAGGATAATATGAGTGAGAGGAGTAATTTCCCTGAAGAAACAGATATTGGTGTTGCTCTTTACGTGTCTGTACCTTCTTGGAGGAGGTACTGTTCTTGATGACTCTGTGGCAGGGACTCACTCACCTGGGAGGGTGAGGAGGGGCAGCAGGGTCTGTGGCTACCTTAACCCCATTGTGGAGGCACTGAAGAAGGGAGTGAGGGGTCTCAGAGGTCTGCTGCAGTTTCCTAACCCTCCCAAGCCCTTGAGTGGAGTGTTTGTGTTGACACAGTGGAAAACTTTAAGGGAACAGTGCTCTACAATTCAGAGGACTGTTACCTTAGGGGTATGCAGAAGAGATGTTTTGATTGCTCTTGAAAGACTCTGTTAAGTGTTCTGTTTTATTATGCTATGTATGTGTTTGACTAGAATTGTCTTACAAAAAGCTAAGTTTTCTTTAGTCTTGGCTGTCTCTAAGTTGATCTTTATGTGGATAAACTACCTTTACTGAAAGAAGTACTGGTAGTTGATTTAAAATATCTCTGCAGAACAATGAGATACTGAAAAGGATCAGTGCTACTTATAAAGTTTTTTCTATCCCTTCACTTTAGTAACTGGATGAGAATACCTATCCACAGGTGTGTTAACTGCCTGTAACTGAATAAAGCAGTAAACAACTTGGATAATACTATACCAAAATTACAACATTATTCTATCCTACACCCCCCTTTTTTTTTTCAATATAGCAATATACAAATACAGGAAAAATGTATTTGAGTGAAATGCCATGATAGTATAAATTTTCATGGCTTTTTGATAGATCTCAGAAAAAAAGTGTGGTAGATTTAGTTATAACTTACTGTTGTAATTATACTTCCCTCTTAGGAAGCAAAAATTGAACCAGAAGAATTTACGAAAAAGCTATACACAGAGCTCAAGTCATCTCCACAACCATATTTAGTTCCTTTTCTCAAGGTAAGCATCTGATTATGAACACATAGTATTTAGCTGGGGAAGGGAGGAGGACCAGAAGAGAAAACGACAGAGTTGGGGCATTCAAATAGATATTTATTTGCTCAGGTCAGTTGAAGAAGTGGTCCTTAACCTTGCTCTTAACTTGTGTGACTGTTGCGCTTGGAAAGGTGATTTTTCAGTGGATGGAGAATTTTTGAGGAGTAATTTATGCTGTGTTCATATATGGTAGAGTAATTACCCTCTAAATTTTAGTGGAGATTAGTGTTTTGGAAGCATCTACAGTAGAGCAGCTATGCTAAGATGACTTCTTACTTTCTCATCAAAACTGTAGCTCTTCTTAATTCTAATACAGAAGACTGAGAACAGTGATAATGCATAGCTTATGCAGTGTTTAAGATCAAAGAATCTACATAAAGCTATTAATCTGTCTGCTGGTTTGTGTTTAACTGGAGGCAGAAACACTCCCCCCTTCCCCTTTCTCTAGAAAGGGTCTGATAGGGCTACTGCAGAAAAGAATCCCAGGAACTCTACCTCCATTCAAACAAATAATCACATAAATTAAAAAATTCTCCCTTAAGATTTCTAATCATATGGTAGAATGGTATTAACAAATAAAAACTACCATCTTTGTTGTACAGCAAGCATTAAATTCCAGTGAAAACATGGAAAACTTGGTTAAATTTACTTAACTGCAACGTACACCATATTCTTAGATTTGATGGATCTGTACTTTTCCTTGACATTCATTATAGGCATGACGGAGAATAAAGGAAGAATAGTTGAGTGGTAAAGCTGGGACTTTACCTGCATTTCTGTAGTTTGCCCTTGCCCTTTTCCTTGGTTTCTGACAGGCCATGTGATAATGATATTACTTTAGATGGCTGGTGTTAATCTGTTCAAGTAGGGGATAAAAATTTTTCTTGTAGTGGTAACTTCTAAATGCCTTGCTAGCAAGTTTGCCATGAGTCTTCAAGACTGCAGTCATCTCTGCATGACCTTAAGCTTAGACAGGGGAGGTTCAGATTAGATATTGGGGAAAAAAATGTCACTGTTAGAGTGCTCAGACATTGGAATAGGTTGCCCAGAGAGGTGTTGGAGTCACCATCCCTGGAGGTGTTTTAGAGGTGTCTGCATCTGGCACTAGGTTGACGTGGTTTAGGGGTTACAGTGGCAGTGCTGGGTTGGCAGTTGGACTGGATGATATTCCAACCTTGATGATTCCACTATATATAAAATTATCATACTAGTCATTTATTCTCTTGTTTAACTTCTTGGAGGCTTCTTTGGCATTTATGCCATAATGGCATAAATGGCATTTATGCCCATGCAAAAGCCAGGAAAATAAACAGCTCCAAGAATGGCCTTTTCTGCATCTAGTGTGGCTTTGGCTGCAGAAGGACTGGGCTGTGAGTGCAGGGTCAGGGTGACTGGCAAAGGTTTCCTAGAAGCTCCTACAAGTCACAGGAGAGCTCTACTATCTGCCAGGGCAAGTTTGGCTTCCAAAGTAGCACAGTTGTTTTCTACCGGGCCCTGGCTGATTGATCCTGCTAGATATGGGCTGGCTGTGCCTGTGTGGGTGCAGCTCAGGTGCTGCTATGCTAAGTTGCTGAAGCAGCAACTTAGGTTGAGGTGAACCTCATTAGCTCTGCACAGACCCAGCCTAAATCTGACACAGCTAGGCCTGGGCTGGGGCTGGTGAGCCCTGATAGCCCCAAACTAGCTCGTGCAGAGGAGCCAAGGGGTGACTGCACTGCACTTACTGATTCTTACACTTGTTTGGTCCCACAGGGTTTTATTAGCTTAGGCATAGGGCTGTCCTTGTGCACTCACAGATGTGCTCAGCTGTTGGGAAGCCTTCTGCCAATGTGGGGAACTGTTACCCTTGGTGCACAGACCTCAAGGCAGTTCTGCAGGAGTTAAGTTGGGTTCATCAGCGTGGGTCAGACCCATCGCAGCAGAGACACTGCATGTTTCTCCTGCAGCATACTGCCAGCTATTGGTATCATCTGGGCTTTTCTGGTTTTGGCAGTATCCATACTACATAATCCTTGACATGCTGCTCTCTCCCTGTTGCATGCTGTATTAATAAAGAAATACTGTCACTTCAAAAATGTTGTTCAGACATCGTCAGAGTTAGCTGACTTTGCAGCGTTGCCAATCCTTTAAAACATCTTGCACCCTGATTGCTTTTTTTCTGAAATACTATAACGATGTGTAGTTAATACATACAATTAATTAGGTTGATCTGCAACTCTGAGCAGCTGTGACAGAACTGAGTGCCAAATTGAAGATGATTTCAGGAGCACTTCTCGAAGGTGCTCAGAGGATCAGCACCGGCCTTGTTTGCAGGGAAAATGTTTGCACCTTGAGTCTGGAAAGAAATGTGATACCGCTTGTTGCCAATTCACTTTTATCTAGTGAAGTGGAATTTTAGGGAGGACTCTCTGGAGTCGTCTCTTATCTTTGAGCTGCAGGTTTTTGATGAAGTTGTGCATGTTTGTTTTGCTTGTTCCAAAGAGGCACAAAAATACAATGGCTTTGGCTGTGAATGTGGAGTTCACAGAATGTGAAAATCAATTGCTTGGTTTTCGCGTCTACTGGATGCTTTTGGTGTATAAATTGTACCAGGAGCTGAGCATCCTTTTAAAAGGAAGTGAATGTTAGAAGACAGGTGTGCTGCAAAAGTTCCAGATGAGCAGACAACATGTTCACTATGGTATACTAGCATGTAAGACATGTTCCTTTTGCATGAAGTCCAAATCAGCAGCAGTGTGCTAGAAACTCTTACAAACTTAAAAAACTGTTTAGTGGGGAGGAAAAAAAAAAGGGGTTTTCGAGAATATGCAGGTTGCTGCAGAACTGATTTCCCCTGCTTCAGAGCTGTAGCAGATTATACACAGTCAAGGAGAAAAATCTGTAGAGAGCGTGAAGATTATTCTGTCCATTAACCTTTTCAAACACAGCTGTAATAAAAATGAGATGTTGCCAGATTCCTTTACTTCTGTTCTCCCGCTTCAGAGAAGTAACTGGCTGAAGTTGTGTTGGTGCAGCTCTACAGACATTATTAAAGTGGTATCTCCCCCTAGTGTAGATACAGCTGTATTGGTAGAGAAGTTCTCATGTCTTCAGATATTGGAATTATTGGATAATTCCTAGTTCCTTGTCAGACAGGCTCCATGAAATAAACACAGCTGTTCCAGTATAACAGGGTTTTTTGGCAAAACAAATTTTTTTGAGGTAATAAAGCAGTTTAAATCATTTTAATCTGAAATATAAAGTCCAAATTGAAAAATCTAAACAAAAGAACAACGTTATGTCTGAGTTTCCCCATAGATGGGATTTGCTACCTGTAGTGAAGCTGTGGTGACTGTTGACCTTAGCTCAGCCTGTGTTCACGTTTCTTGTGGTCTTCACTGAACAGTATTGTCATCAGTTTAAGGATACCTGGATTTCAGCAAAACTTGTTTGGAATAAGAAGTAATTTATTGTCTCATGAAAAATTTAATTGGAAAATGAGGAATAGGATTCAGTTACAGATGTATTATTATTGTGGAAAACTCTGTTGATATCGCATCCAGTGTTTTTCATTTTCTTTTAGAAAAGCATGCTTGCCTTACGGCAACTAATGCCTAATCCTCAGAGCTTTATCCAGCAGTGTATGCAGCAGCCAGCTACAACCCAAGAAGTGGTTTCGACTTGTACCTCTGCAGGACCAGCTCCTTCGACAGGAGTGGTAACCTCAGCTGTAGCAACAACTGCTCTACCAGTTATAAAACCCGTGGCTGCCTCTGTAACAGTCACAGCCCCTCTAGTTGTGAAGCCACTCCTTGCCAGCACGTCGGAAACACCTTCTCTGCAGACTGTGAAGCCTGTTCCTTCCTCTGCAGTGGTGACAGCATCTCTTCAGCCCCAGCTTCGGTCCTCACCACAACGATAGCAGCATCAGGGCTGACTGCTGTCCAACCTGTCAAGCCAGTCTTCACCTCTGCGGTACCATCGTCCGCTCTCCAGTCTGCAAAGCCAGTGCTGGTCTCTGCAGTGGCCTCTTCATCAACGACCCCTCTCCAGCCTCTGAAACAAGTCATTGGAACCCCGATCGGTATTAAAATCTCTCAGCCCAGCTCTGTTGTTACGCAGTCAGTGTGTGCTCAGCACGTGGTTAAAGTGAAACAGTTGGTAAGATGGATTTCTCTGCTCCTCTGTAACTAACTGGACTTCTTTATTTTGACTCTTGCCATTTTGTAAAGAGGGTACCAATTTGGACCTTTGCTTTTTTTTTTTCCTTTTAATGCGCAAGCTAATCTGTCTTGAGTTAATCAGTTATGTCTGTTGTAGTTTAGAAATATTGAGCCCTTGCTGAAAATGTGAATCTAAAGCCAAGCTGTCAAGCTTGGGTCTCACGCAAGGCATGTTGACCACTTTTTCACCAGACTGAATATCCATCTTGAAACACAGGGGGATATGAGGTCTAATCTCAGGCTAGTTTGACACCTGAAAGAAAAGGTAGGAAACGCTAGTGTCAGAAACAGAAACTGCTGATTAGATTAATTACTCTTAGATGCCCTGTTAGGACTGTGCCTCAGCTAGCCACCAGGGATTCCACTTCCTCTCCCTTGGCAATTCTTCCCTTGGGTACTTTGCAGGCACAGGTGGCTCGGTGATGTTTAGTGATACGTTATCTGAAATGTACCAACTACCCCAAGGAGCTTGTCAGAGCAGAGTTCTGACCTCCACATTTACTAAGATGTGTTAATTATGAAGTCATCCAAAAGTGAGTTTTTCCTATCAGGCCTCATTAGCTAACAAATTCCATGAGGAATAGCTGTCTTATTAAAACAATGCCCTCAAAAGCAATGTGTTAACATTTTTTTTTCTTGGCACAGGTTAACTTCTTGCTAATGTTAACGTTAAATACCAAGAAACTGTGGATCACAGGTATACCCAAATGAGCAACATTGTGAAATAAATTAGGTTTGGTTTACAGGTGTTTGAGATACTGAATTGCATGGTTTCTAACTCATCTACCTGTAAATAATGTTTTCAAGTATTTTGAAAGAATAGTCTCCCTTTGGAAGATAAAGAACTCAATTCTTGCACAGCACTTCCTTGTAAAGATTATTTTTCTTTAAAAAAGCAGGAAAAACATTAGACTTCCCTTGAAGCTAGATTTACTTTCCACAGGTATAGTGGGGTGTCTGGTATGTGAATTTCCTTTGTAGCTTGGTTATTGTGTATACTTGATTTAAAAGTGTTCAGACCTCTAAAATGTTTTGCTCTTTTAATTTTCTTCTTTTCAAAGGTTGTAAGGTAGATGCAATAGAAGAATCCTGCATTCTAAATAAAGAGTTTGTGCTACCAGCTTTTCACCTTTCTGCACTTGCTTAAAAAAAGCAAAGCACCCAACTGTATGGAGGGGATGGGCAGTCCTTTTTATGAGTGGATTTGTTTAAAAAAAAAAAAAAAAAATGCAAAAAACCCCCACCATAAAACTCCAAAGAAGAGTTATCAAGCATATGCACTGACAGTTTTTGCTGGTAGTAGCTAAAGCCAAATTGGAAAAGGAGTTGGTACCCGTATTGTCTTTGAGGACTAAGTTTGAAATTCCAGCCAGAAGAAAAAGAGGGTTTCTTAGGTTGTACAAGGGCTGGAGAACAGTTTGTTGGCTACACAGCAAGCCATGTAATCCAGGGGAAAGGTTGACCATCTGTGCAAATAGGCGAGGAAGCTTAACTCTGCACAGGGGAGTCGAAACACTTCTTGAATATGATATTGATGAACTCAAGAAATGGTTTCTGCCTCCCACACTGCTGCAGAGTGGTACCCTGTTGCAGTTGTTTTTCTTCGCTTTGCCTTACATAAATTGAATTGAATACAGAGCATATTTTTATCCTCATTTGGGTAGATCCCAGGCACAGTGATTAAAATACTTGGTCTTCTAAATACCTATTAGATTTTGGTCTTGCATTTAGTTGGACTGAGTTGACCACAGCTTAGCTATGTTAGGAGCTTGATGTTCGTTCACGCCACCTATTAGCACAAAGAGAAAATTAATAGAAGCGGCTGCATCTCCTAGGGCTTCCCTGATGCCTTTCCTTGAAAGGGCAGAGGGTCTGTTTCCTCCCATAAGAAAACCAATCTGGACCTCCCCTCCCTAAACAGAAGGGTCCTACTGCCAGCTGAAAAAAGAAGCACACTGCCAGCTGTGCAAATCTGTCCGTACAATGCTGCCAGCAATTTCTTTCCCTTTTCAGCCCGTAGGGATGTCTGATGCCATACACTCCCTCTGCATGCCCCTTTCTAATTTTGGCCTCTTGTGCTTGAGGGAATTTAAAGTGAACTTTCATGTGCCAACTCCATTGTAATGTTGGTGGTGCTTAAGAATGCTGCTCTGCAGTATTTTAATATCAAATGTGTGACTGGAGTGATGCAACATGAAACTTTAATTTCTGTGGCATGATTAACAGAACACTGGGTTTGTACGGTGGACCCTGAGGGACCTGTTCTTCAGGGGTGCTGTTGGGATTGATCACACTCCTGTGCTGTAAGAGTTGCACATTTGGAAGGGTTCCCTCCTGTGACTTTCATAACACCACCTCATTTAAGGGCATTGGCTTACAAAGAAATTTCATCTTGAAAATAAAGCTTGTCTTGCTGTAGTATTACTTTTTCTCTTTTAAAGCGCAGTAAATGAAAATTTACATGACCAGCTGCTGGCCTTCAATGATGAAAAAGCTACTGTGAGACTAAAAGTTCATGTCAGGCATAAACAGCAAGGGGTCTGTGGTGTAGTCCCCACAGTTACCAGTGAGACACACTCCATGGACATTGCTAATGGCTGAAGCAAGGAGTGAAGTGCTTATGCTGTTCCAACTACTTGTTCTTAGTGAGCTGTTAGTGCCAAGTCCCCTCCAAGCTGGAGTTTTTGTGAACATTCTCCTCCATTATTTTTCAGGAGGGTTTTCTTTGTCCTGGATATATGCTTTTGCATTCATCTGGTGAGGCTTCCTTCACGAAACAATACTCTGTGTGTGTGGTGATACCTCAGCTCTGCTGATCTCCAGGCTTTGCTTTATGAATGTAAAAGAGGTTCAGCTGAGGCTAATCAAAGTCTCTCTCGAGCAGCTGTCTCTCTGCTGTCAGCTGAACGTTGCATTGCAATTTTTTTACTCAAGAATGTTGGTGATTTTATTCTCAAGTCTGTGTCAACCTGCTTAACAGGGCACAAAAGGAACAGTCCCTTTTCTTTATTATTTCTTGCTGCTAATGCAAAGAAAAGAGACAATAATTCCTTCTCACAGATACTACCTATTTTTGTAATTCTTTCTTCTGGCATTAGGTCCATGTTGAAATTTCCAAGATCGTTGCTCTCTCCTGTTTGCAAGTCCCAAGGACTTCCAGTGTTTGTTAGTCTAGGAGCTAGAATGGCAAACAGAAAACGGACTCTACTGCCAACACATCGTTTCTGTTTCTCAGTGGTGTAGTCTCCTCGGTTACTTGACTTATTTCCCAGTCTGCACCCGGACCACTGATGTAACGTTGCCTCCCTCTGTTCTTTTGTCTGCTATACATCAGTCTGGAGTGCTTACGTTTCCTCCTGTGCTGTTCCAGTGTTGTGCATGCTGAAGTTGAGGCATCACTCTTACTGGTGCTAAGGAGGATCTTGAGGTGTGTGTTAGTGCGGGTGCAAGCGGAGCTTGCGCGTAGTTTGGCCAAGCTGGTTGGTGGCTCAGGACTTACCTGAACACACGAATGACGCTGTTAGTGTTATTCACAGCTTCCATCTTGTGGAAGCTGCATTTCTCAGAAAGAGCAAACTGAGCTTTGGGAAAATTGCATGTAAATAAACTTGTAGTCCATGAGGAAGTGTTGCATGTGTAAGCCTTGGCTCTCTCTGCAGTCTATCCCTGCACTCCTGTAGTTCTTTCCTCCTCTGGATCTTACGTTTCTTCTCAAGAACTGTCTATCTGGTTTTCAGATGCCACCTTCAGCTCCTTATTCTGTGTTACTGCTATGCCAAAATGCTATTGATATGGAGATGGGTGGGTAGTATCTTGACTCTTTGATGCTCAAACCACCTCTTTTTGTGAATGTGTGATGCTTATGCTGATGATATTTATGGATAAATCAGAAGATAGATGACAGAAGGAAACAGCGTAATGTCTGAAGTATTGTAAATGTCAATTCTTTAGTTTACCCGTATGCAGTCTTTCTGTATAAGCACTCTTTAGACTTTCTGAAGTCAGAATAAAAAATGTAGAGGAGAAAAATAGCTTCTTGATCTTCACCCAGACATTTTCTTAATGTTATCTTTTTACTGCTAAGGATTCAATCTGAAGACTTTATGATTTTGTGTTTTGGTAAAATCACATCTTTTTACTACCTGTAATCAAGAACTTTTCCAAAGGTGGTATCGAAGCTGCAGCCCACATTCTATTATCTAGGAGGCTTAGAAGTGGGGTTTTTAGGGATGCTGCAGCTTTATTACTTTCTTGCATTTTAATAGCTGCCCCTGAAGAGGAAGGATTAGTGTTTATGGACTACGCCTCTAGGTCTGTGTTGTGATGACATCCTGTTGTCTGGTTTTGTTTCTTTGAAGAGTCCCTTTAGACAAAACTATGAATCCTCTTCCTCTTTACCCTTCGGCTGTGTACTCTTGTCTTTATTTGGAGGCTCTACTCACTCTAGGTATTGCTATTTAATACTTCACGTTCCTGGTGACTGATGTGCTTGGTGTCCTTTAGCTTAACAACTTGAAACTCAGCATCTCAATTAACAACTGATGTTGCAGTTCCAAGAATCCATTAGTAATTTTACAATGTGTACTCTTAATTCTTAACAGGAAAATAATTTCATGCAAGTCTTCCAGTTGCTTTAGTGTCCTCTCTTTTGAACGAGGTGTTTGAGATACCTACCCTTTTGAAGTCATTGGTAGGCAAACTGAATATTTAATAGTTACTCTGTTAAGCAAGATGTAGAGGAAAGCCTCTCAGTGTAATGGGTTGTGTGATACTTAGTGAAATATGTCTAATAGAGTTATCAGTAGAGACTAGGGGTGAATTGTCTTACTCAGAATCAGCATCACATTCTGAAAGAGATGGAGCTTGAAGCTCACCACTGCTTGTTAAGATTTCTTGACATGAAGTAAAAAAAAATGAGGTTTTTCTGAGCATGCTGTTTGCTTTAAACTGAGAACTAGACAAACACGCCTGCCCAGTGGCAATTCTGGCTAAGTGGAAATACTGATACTGTTTACTTCTGTGTATTTTTAGCTCTTCTCACTCTTGATATTGGATATTCCACTTCCAGGTAGTCCAGCAACCATCAGGAACTATTGTAAAGCAAGTATCCACGCTCCCACAACCCTCAGTGCTCACCCTACAGACATCTGCTGACAAGAAGATGCCGCTGAATACACTTGTTCAAACCAACCAGTTTCCTGCAGGTAAAGGGAGAGGAATGTTGAGGTGTAGAAGTAAATGCAGGCTGTTGGTAGATTGTAGGAAGGTGGCTATCTGTTGGGAGCAACCACTTTAAGTTGAACCTCTTTACTGTCTGCCTGAAGTTCTGATGAGAAAATCAGTGCCTCATCTACTTCTGGCACTTGTTAAAAGTATATCAATCAAACATTTGTGCTGGGACTGAGCTCCTTGCAGTAAACTTTCTTTAAACAATGATGCTTTTGAGAGTCATTTCATGAGACCTTGTTTTTTTCCTTCAACAGGTTCAGGTTGATGCAGAATAAGAGTTTGTCTCAACCAGCCAGTTTTCACTTAAATGTTTCACTTGACAGTACAGAGGAGGGTGTTTGAAAGCATGTAAAGTTTTTGTCCATACAGAACATGTAGAGTGTAAGATTTCAGAGTGTCTGGTTTTCAAGTGGACCTAATTACTTGGTTTTGAATCTGCAGTAGCCTTTGCTGGAAGAAAGAACTGGTAAAGCAGTTGTCTTAGCGTTTTACTTTCTACTATAGCATGTTCTTTGTTTTATTTTAGGTTCCATTCTGAAACAAATTACCCTGCCAGGAAATAAAATTCTGTCGCTTCAAGCATCTCCTGTTCAGAAGGCAAAAATGAAAGAGAACGGAGCAACATCCTTCAGGTAAAAATAAACATTATCAGAAGTTAACAATAGAAACAGAAGGAAGAGACAGCAAGTATAGAGGTGGGAACAGAGCCCAAATAAAAGAAACTTTCTTTAGAAACTTTTTTCTGATATGTGTTTTTCATGTTACAATACTAACTGGCAAGGGAGAACCTGAAAATTTTTACCTCATCACAGATGTTAATTATTCTTAGTGTAAGAAAGCTGTCCTGATGAGGTGATAGCATGATGAAAATCCAACAAGAGTGCATCAATATGTGTCAGTTTTTCTCTTGTATACAATTACTAATCTAGTTACCTCGTATTAAAATCTCTAAGTAGGATTAAAGTAGAGGTAACCTCTGCTTTTTGCAGACAGCTGGATAGCATTGAACTGTTGCTTGGACTGGCTGATAACTTTCCTAAAGCTCTGTGCTGTATTTCAGAATATTTTTATTAGCTCCTCTTACAAGCTCATTTCTGTATGTAGAGGTCCAAGTCTTTGACTACATCTCTAATTATGACTTCTGGCATATTCTCTAGGCCTTTAAATTACAAGAGTGCTTAAAGCTTTTAGTTCTGGTAACTGATTAACTTTTCAAAAGCAGAAATTACTTTTTGTAGCTCTGAAACGTAATGCTGGATCAAAGGTACAGACTGCCATAAGCATTATTGGTCTTTCAACCTTAAGGCAAGTTTGAGGGGGAAAAAAAAGAAGACATGATGACACCTTTGTCTTGTTGACCAGTTGACTTCCCATCTCTTGAAAGCTACAGCATTGAGTGCACTGATATAGCTGTTGTTGTTTACAGTAACATACAGCATACAGCGAACACTTAAAACAGGGGTAGCCAGAAGTTGAAATGAAAAGCTCATATTAGAGCAGCAGCTCTGTTAGCTGCCTCAAGGTCTTATAAAACAACTTCAAAATTAATGTGGGACATAATTTTGAGTAGTGATGTGGAAAAAAAAGAAAAGCTTCATAAATATCACAATTTTTAAAAAAGCAACAAACCACCACATACAAAAAAAAGGAATTTCTTTTTTTCTGTGATCTTCCTATTGGAATATATTAGCTGTCTTAGAATAAAAAGGTTCTTGAAGTTTCTTCCCTGAATTGTTAAATTCTTAGTGTAGGAAAAAATCTGCTTTTACATTGTGATCCAAGGTAGATTTCTGTTCTTGCTTTTGGAATCTGATTTTCAAAGTAGCATAAGTCCATGAAAATTTAGGTGGAAAATCTCTAACTCATCTTGAATTTCTCTAGTAGAGCCCTGTCTCTGAAGAATTTGTCTTTGCGTACATTCCTGCTGCTTCTTCTATTCACAGCTATAATCAAACTTTATGACTTTAGAAACTACATATGACAGTCTTCATATATCTGAATGTGGTCAGTGCGTACCTGAACTCTTGGCTTCCCTCAGTGAAGTATTTGTGTCCTCTGAGCAGGTCTTGCACCAGGTAGTGTTAACAGGGCAATAGCTGTTCCCCAGTAAGCTGTGAAGTGGTTTGCTCTCTTCTGTCTGACATTCAGAATTCCCAGTACAGCTGTTCTTTGTGACCTGCGGTGCATCAACTGCTGATCATGTGCGAGGCGGAGAGAGGCGCCATGGCCTGCTCTTATGAGTAGAGAGTGCGTCTTGTAATCGGTGTGATTGTATGTGTGACACTAATGAGAGTGCTCTTGCTGTGCACTCTCATTGCAGTATGTCATCGAGCCTGACTCCCTCTGCCGTTGTGTGACTAGGTTAGGTTAGGATTTGGGAATGTAATACTCACTAGGCTGTACTTACTTAGATGCAGTTTGACCTTGTCTGCTCTGTAATGGGCTGATTTAGTTTGCTTGAGATGAGCAGTGGAAAAAATGGTGATTTCCTGTCCCCCAGGCAAACGAACAAACCCCCCCCACCCCCAGCAAAATACAAAACATTCCAACCTTCCAGATACTATTTCAGCTAAGCATGGACATTGCACCATGGCATGTTAAGAGGCAGTCTGTTTTAAAAGCATCAAGACTTTTGTAAGCTGATCTACACATTTATGTAAAGTATATGCTAGGGCACCCTGGAAAAAAATAAGTCACATATTTCATCTTCAAATACTTGTTTGACTCCTTTCCGTTTAATAAAGTTGTTCTCCAAAGCACATGCAACTTTGACTTGTGTGTTTTGTCTGGAATGTACTAACAGTCTCAATTAGCAGGCAAACAGGAGTGAGACAGCAGAATGGAGCACATCTGGGCAGCTGCTTCCCTGCCCCGTGGTAGTGGTGAGTGCTGGTGGTTCCTGGTTTACTGGAATTGTTCTGGCCCATGTAGTCGTCAGTGACAGTGCACAGAGGTTTGGGTTAAATGTGCTTAAATCTACTTTTCCCTTTCACTCCTGTATAAAATGGAGTAAAGTAAAGATGGATTCAGGAGCAGACGTGCAGTAGTCAGACACCAGAGGGTGCCACAGACTCACTTTTCTGGCAGCAGAGGGAAATTCATAGATGTGAGGTGCATCTGCATTGCTTGGGCTTCTTTTCAAGTGAATATTCAGTATAAGTGTCAAATCTGACTTCATGCAGTGTAATGCTCAGAACTCTGAGTTCTGTTTTCCACCTTGTCCTGGTAAGCTTAAATCGCTGGAGACTCATAACAACTGGAAGAGTTTTCCTGTTGATTTCTGAGTGTGACATGATCAAATGCAAAAAGAATTAAAGGAAGTGGTGCAGAAAAGGGACTTTATGGAGGGATTGCTGAAAGTGAAAGCAAACCAGTATCCAACAGAAACACCTGTATGTACACTCTGGAATATTTTAAATTTTTACCTTAATAGAATGATTTTTATAGCATACTCAGAGTGCATATATAACCTTACTTAAAATGATTAAAGTTTATTTGAACAAGGAGAAATTAATAGTGAAAGGTACAAACTTACCATGGCTTCTGAAACTTTTATTAATCTTTAGCAAGTACTGTTTCTGAGGAAATGTAATGATAATTTCTTTGGGTTAAGTAAAATAAGTGCAGTAGTGTTTTCATATCTTGCATCAAAGCTAATGACTCAGTGACTTAATGCAAACTTAGTCTCACAGTGAAAAAGTTAGAATTGGTCCTTAGAAACAATACAGGTAGAGATGTTGCATATAAGCCCTTGTACGGGTGTACTCATAAGAGAGACTGTGTGCATGGAAACGTATTCAAGAAAATTGTAACCTGTTAAAGGCAGGGTTATAGAGAAATTAAAGTTGTATATTTAGAAAGGGGGATAGATGTATAGTATAGAAGTTTACGTCCTCCTTACTTGAGTGTTTGGAGTATGTGGCCAAATTAAAAGCAAAAATGATTTCCTGAAGCTGCGTGCTATACAGTTGTGTCTGAGGTGCAACCATCCTTCCAGTGGGGTAATGTCAGGTTCCAGCATTGATAGCTTGTGATGTGTGTTTCTGGTGCTAGTTATGCTTATTTTGTCATCTCCTTTGTTAGTAGGCCCATGGCAGTCTCACTGCCATCAGCAAAGACTTCTCTGTAGTGGTCACTAAGAAGAGGAAACTGGAGTGAACTTGTGAAGATCAGTTAGCACTCAATTATCATTCAGTGAAGCTTCATTTACACAGTTGCTGAAAGTTCAGGGTCTCTGCTAGGCTGATAGAGCCTGAGTAAACACTTGGAACTGCTCAGTTGCTGATTGTGAAGGGGTACTAGGAGAGGAGCTGTTTCGGTGCTGATGACTTCAGCTTTGAATGGTAACAGCGGACATCCAACTGTTCTGACAATCCTGGGGTTTAAAACTTTTCTTAGCACGATGGATTTGGGGCACAAGCCTAGTCAGGAAGCTACAGTGTCTAGTTAGAATTAATGAATGGAGCTGGTTTGAGAATCTATTGTGTCTCCTTTTCCCTGAACACAACACACCGGAACTCCTAGCAATGAGGGCACACGAATGGAACTCATATTCTAATAACTTCAGCTTCTACCTATTTTCAGTCAAAAGACAGCCTCTAGGAAATCCCACATAACCCAGGAACGGCAAGTTTCTGGCTGACCCCTTGTTCAAGAGTTATTTAAACCACACAGTGTTTTCTGAAGGTGAACTTTATCAAACCTTGCCAGAGAATACTTTTCAGGAGGGGCGTGTGTGTTGGTTTTATTTTCTTCTTTTTCCAAATAAAAAGACCTTCAGATTGAGTGATTTATCTTACCTGTCTTAATACTGCAGACATCTGTTTTGATTTGGTCCTAAACCATGGAAGCCACCATTAGGGCCCTTGTCAGTTTGTGAAGTAAAAAGGCTTTCTCTTGGTGATCTAGAGTCCAGGAAAAACTTTCCCCACATGAGATTCATTTAATATCTTAACTTAAATTATCTTAAAAAAAAAAAAAAAAAGAGCTGAGGCACACAGGCTATTACAGCTCATCTGAGTGATGTTCGCTTTAAGTATACCAATTTTTAGTTTTTATTTTGAACACATAGTCCAAAGCTGCTACAGCAGAATCCAGCTAATGGAGGGGTGTTCACAGCTCAAGCTCTGCCACGGCACTTCAGAAGCGTGGCATCTTCCCTGCTATGTACATAAGTATGGTAGGACTGATCCAAAGGACAAGGTCTGGATTGGTTCTACTATATAATCAAGAACTGTTTGTATCCTGTGCTTTAAGGGAACTCACTAAAGGAAAGTGAAGATCAGGTCTGTGCTAATAAACTTGTGTTGTAAACTTCAGCTTGTAAGATAGACATCTTGGTTAGAAAATGGGCTTATTTTTAGTTAAGTGAATCAACATTCAAGTTTATTCAATGCTTGTTTCTACCTGGTGAATTCATTTTAGAAAAAATACCAGTCTACAAAAGCAGTGGTGCAGGGTTAGGGTTTGTGGGAACTTTTAATCTGGGTTTACGTCAGTCCGTGGTTTCCAACCTTGCTCAAAATTTCAGTTTCGTATAAAGGATTTGCGTGCCTAGCAGCTGAGGCATTAGCCAAATGAGGGTTTCAGAGACACTTGACTGAAGTGTGAGAGCTTTTAGGAGCTGTCTGTCCCTGTCCACACCCACACTAAACATCTATTGTATATAGGTATAGCCTTCAAGATATGTGAATGTGGCTGCTTGTTGATAGTCCAGAGACTTTTTCTTTGTATCTGTTCTAAACAAAGCATAAAATGTTGGTCTTTTCTTTTTTAGAGATGAAGATGACATAAATGATGTGACTTCTATGGCTGGGATCAATCTTAATGAGGAGAATGCGTGCATTTTGGCATCAAACTCTGAGCTCATTGGTACAGTGATTCACTCTTGTTCAGATGAACCATTTCTCTCTTTGGAAGCTCTTCAGAAGAAGATCTTGAACATAGGTGAGAGCAATGCACATGTAACATGTATGGATGGATGTAGTGTTTTGTTGCCTCTTTCATCAGCCAGCCTCCAGTCTTCGAAGAAGGACCTTGAACTATTAATATCTCCCATCTCAATTCATGTGTTTCTGCCAAACTATACTGAGCTTTTACTCCTCCATCTAGGAAACAACTGTCCTCTAGGGTTTTTTTTTAACATGGAAACAGTCTCAAGCACAGATGAGAAACCGATGCCACTTCAACATATGAGAAGTGAGCAACTTTATTACTCTTAAACTTAATGGGACAGTTAACAACCATAAAGATGCTAGTGTCAAAACACTTACATGTGCTTTTTTATCTCTGCAGCTTCTAACCTGATGCATTACACTAACTTTCCTAACAGTTTTTGCATTCCTCAGCCTGTTCAGGTATATGTACTCTATTGACCAGCATTAAGAAGAAGTTTGAAACTGCCAATACACACAGGGCAGACCTTTGTTTATGACTCCGTCTGTGGAAAAAAAACTTCCATTAATTTTATGCAAAAGAGGTGTTGAAGCTGTTTGTCTGTGTAGGGAGTGGTAGTGTGGAATGCGTGTTGAGTGCCTGTGACTACACTGCATTTCAGCTGTTAGCTTCTGAGCAAAGTGGTGACTGTTGCTTGGCAGTGCTGTGTTTTGTCAGAGCAGGGAGTGTGCATTTGTATAGTGGCACGCTGAGCGGTACCACTGCTGCCGACAGCAAACTCTGTGAGTGTTGCTCCGCTCCTTGCTCGTGCCCTCTGCCCCGTAGCTCTCTGTACTGGAACAGTGAGTTTTACAGCTGAGCATCCATGAAAGCCTGCGGTTGTACACGCAGTCATCGTTCTGTCACGGTGGTTTAGCTACGCCATCACCAAGTCTTTCTCCTTCTGGACACACCTGGTCCTCTCTCCAAAGTAGGCAGCTAACCTGTGACAAGCATGTAACCTGCAAATGCTACCTGCAGCCTCAGTACTCCTGCTCTCGTTAGCCAGGATGCATCATCTGAGCTGTGTGGGGCATAGTGCAGTGAAGTAAGTGCTGTGTTATTTGTGGCAAAGGGAAAATACTCATCAAAATTGGTGCCTAGAAGATTTTCTCAAAATTCAGTAGAGGATTAATCCATCCTTCTTGGAAAGTGTATATAAAGAAAAATTAAGAGCTCTTCAAAAACACAGAGTACTTCTAGAATAATTTGCTGGTTTGGGGTGTGAAGACAATTCATTGAAAGATGGAAAATAGAAGCCTGGCTGTTTCATGGCTGGCATGGTAGTTGTTCCACATTAATAATATTAGTAACAGGAATAATTCATGTCATAAATGAAAAGTGTTTGATTGCAAGGAAAGGATTATTGCTAGGGAGTACAACAATTCAAAAAATGAACACATCTACTTTTTAACCAAGCTCTCTTTGAATTAAGAAGTGTTTGTGTGGAGGGAGGTGTTGAGATTTGGAGGGATTTTACTAACTCTTTAAGTTGGTGTTTCGATGTTCTGATAGTCTAGTGAGAAGCTGCTGAAGAAGTATTGAAAAGTCCTTGAGCAGAATGAGCTTCGCACTCAGCTAAGCCACAGGCCAGTGCTTCCTGATCAAATACACTTTGATTGTATCTGGGAAAACATCCTAGATTCTCCCTGTCTTGCGAGATTGTTACTCATTTTCAGTTAGAGTAGCAAAGGCAAATGAAATAGGTGATTAGTTTTTTTACAGTGTGCTGTTTATCCATTCTTAACACTTCACTTGGCAGTAAATACCGAAATGGGTTTTGAAGGCGTGCTGTATATTGCATCATAAAGCATTACAGCTGCTGTAAATGCAGCGAGGGGCGAGGAAAAGCGCTTCTGACAGGTACGGTGCATGGGGCATGTGAAACTGCTGCCTGCCGTGCCCACCAGGGAAAAGTTGCTGCCGTCCAGGTGTCTGGATGGAGTCGTGTTGAGTGATCGATGGTGTCAACTGCGGGAAGGCTTCTCCGTCGGCAGCCGGCAGCCGCGGGAAGGTTACAGAGGTGATGCCCGGCTCGGGGTGCAGGGCCAGCACAGCTGTGCCTGGAGCTGTCACCAGCCTCGGTCGCAGCTGCTGAAACACAGGGAATCAGCAGCAGCCCGAGAGAAAAGGTTGAAGGTGATGGCAGGATGACCCCAGCTGGACTTGAATGTGTGCTGTCCGAGCTGCTGCCGTGGGTCGGCTGGGGCCTGTCTGCCCCGTGTCCATCAGCCAGGGCAGTTGAGAGGGTCCTGTGTGCCTGGAGTGCGCCGCAAAGCCCGTTCCTGCTCGTCAAATAAATGTCATGAGTTGTTAACAAGCACGGTGTCAAGCAGGGCAAAATGTAATTCTGTATTTTTTTTAATTACTGGAATTAACAGAATATGGCACTAATTTCTACAGCTACTGCTTCTCCCCCTCCCCGAACATGAAGCTTGATTTGTGTTCTTATTAACTTTGTCCTATAAATGACCTTGCAAGGAGAGTGGTTCTGGAGGCTAAGTGAAACAATGTCTATATTTTCTGAAGCTCCAGGCTAAGTTTTATTAATGTAATGTCTAAGATCTTTGAAGTTGTGACTTTACCAGGAAAATCATAATCTCCAAACCTTTATTCATAATGGGTATGACTTCCAGGGGGAACAGAATACCTGCTGTGCTAATTATTTCAATTATCAGCTACTACTAAAACACGTAATGGATTTTCTCTGCTTCCACAGGTAAAAGGCATGACATTACGGAACTTAACTCTGATGTTGTGAACTTGATCTCCCACGCTACACAGGAGAGATTACGAGGGCTCCTAGAAAAACTAACTGTAATTGCTCAGCACAGAGTATCAACCCACAAGGTAAAGGAAATCATTAGGCAAGTTTTGCACCAAAGTTTCCCTGCTTTGCAGCCTTGAACCTCTTCCAAGTGTAGGCGCATCATAGGCAATATGTGCACTTTCAGTAGCTACCAAAGGCTGGTTTTAACAGTTATAGCCAATAACTGTTCTATTTGATTTGTTGGACAGGTGCTCTTAAAACCCAGCATAAGGCTAAATGCATGCATTTCTTCTCTTCCATAGATTTGTTGCCCGTTACGCAAAATTTGTCTTATGTGTAAAGCTCTTTTTGCATGTTCTTGGTAATGGGTTGATTTAGGAGCTTGTGTTTTCCTTACGCATTTACTGTTGGTTGAACTGCAGTATTGATGCAGTAAAAAGCCTTGGGAAACTGAATTGAGTCTTTTACCTTCAGAAGGTGCTCCATGTGAAGACGGAGATCTTTTTGATCTTAAGATTTCCCCCACCACCACCCCCCCGATAATTCAGATTCCCTCCCCTCCCTTGATATGCTTGTATGGTACAAATGGGAAGCAATAATTTACTGGCTAAAATAGCCTTTTTTTTTGTGTCGTTCAATAATAAGGTATTGATCTCTATTTTCAATATGAATCTTAGAAAAAAAAGGAATTTAAATATATCTGTCAGCCCTTGAGTTCTTGTTTGTTTCAGTTTGGTTTTTTCACATGAACTTTATACTTAATGAAATTTAACAAGAGCAGCTAACTGATGGAATAGGAGTTGTTTTTGTACTGAACACTTTTTATAGGCCTTTAAGCACTGGAGCAGCAATAGTAAAGAGGAGGAACTATTTGGAAACTTCTAAGCATTTATGGCGATGTCTGAAGCAGTTGGAGTATGCTGTTCTTTGCCAGAAGAGAATGTAGCAGAAAAAAAATCAATACAGGAAAAGTATAAAGTTTTTTATGATAAGTTTTTGGAAATTTCCACATGTTCTGTGTTGTTTCTCTAAAGTGGAAGGTACAATTGAACTTGTGAGCAAAAGTGAGGAGGAACACTGAAGTCCTGAGTAACCAGTTGGACTTAGTGTCTTGCAGACACCAAGAACATAAGGAAATGGTTTTTGGACAGTAGGCTCTATGGGACTGATTTATTTCTCATTGAACTAAAAAAACAGATAGGTTTTTGTCTGATTGAATTGCCAGAAGCAATGATAAGATTGTAAGGCTGCAATAAGCTTGCTTTCTTTTCCTCTTCTCTCAAAAGCAAAACAAACAAACAAAAAGTAAGGAGCATAGTAATCCTAGAGGCACAGGTACCCCCTTTCCTTAGGAAGATGGTATTCTGCTACATAGGAGTGTCCTACAGGATTACATTTGTGAGTGATGTTACTGTGAGAGATGCTGACAGGCTTTTAGAAATCTAAGAATGGAACACTGCAGGGTTTTGGAGTCATGTTACTCGGTTGGTTAAAACCTGGTTCTAATAATGCTAAGATCACAGGCTTGATCCTCTGTACGAGCCATTCGCTTGAGAGTTGGATTCGATGATCCTTCTGGGTCCCTTCCAACTCAGAATATTCTGTGATTAATATATATATTTACATAACCCTGTATTGCACCTCCCCCAGTGCTTACCCCCTCTTCTCTTTTCCCTCTAGGCTATTGATTGGTACCGTTGTGCAGTGTGGGCTTCATGTATTTCAGATAATTTCCCAGAACCTTTCCAAGAGAGTCAGGTAGTTGCTTTGTAAGGCTTTGTATTGGCCTGTCTTCAGTACAAAAAACCCTACAGTAAGAGGAATAGGTGTGGCACAACCAAAGTAACTACTGTTAGGGTAGGAGTTGGTGTTCAAATGCCAGTAATTCATGGGATCATACTCAAGAAACTCTTCTTCCCAGTTTGCTCAGCTCATGCCTAGCAGCTTCCATCTGATGGATAGCCCTGCAGAGAGAGTGAATTGGCAGGGTAAAAGCTTCATACCATGCCACCATGTAGACTTGCCAACTTTTGCTAAATTTGATAAAAAACGAAGTATGTAATTGGAAGTTACCAAGTTAATTAGGGTAAAACTATCACGGTGGTCTCTTTATCTGAAGCAGGAGTAATCTTTCAGGTTGTTGTAAGCTGTTCTCCGTGATGCAGCTCTTGCTGCAGTGCTCTTATAGAGAGTAATGGGAATTAGCTGGCTGGTTTGGTTCCTCAGCTCCTTCTCTTCTACCAGCTGGAAAACTACTGTGGTTCTAAGAGTATGCATGTGACGTGATACCTAAGACAATAATTCATAACGACAACTAAGCACTACGGTGATTAAAGAACAGTTTTTATGTGTGTGGATTCATCCCAGCATGAGACAGCTGCCCTACTCCTGTGGCCGGAGCCCATGAGAGCAGGCATGGTGTGGTGCTGAGCTACAAACAGTGCTCCATGAAAACATTTTCCCCAAGTGCAGCTCCAAACTATATTATCTAGTAGGGTGATATATGGTGTGGGTGATATGGGTCATCATAACAGTTCTGGCTACAAGTTGTGAACAGGTATACAGCGTAAATGTTTTCCGTCTAAACAATCGCAGAGAAGCTTTTATAGTGGGACAAAATACAACTGCAGGTGTTCATCTTCTAAAAATTCCTGAAATAATCTATCTTAGAACAGTTGATGAGCTGAAATACTGTTATGGATGCACCCATTTCTTGTCACATATAAGGTTGTGGTAGTGCATTGGAGAGCTGCCGGTTGAGAGTCTGCCATTCCTAATTGGTATGGGGTCATGGATTTGGCTTAAAATATGTAAATATCTGACTCTGATTTCGGGTATTCTGAAGCGAAACACTTCTAAACTTTGGAAAAAATAATCTTCTGGTAATACAGCTTTCTTCTTTGTCCCTTTAAAAGGATTGTGGTATGGTGGTGGATTATTATAAGCTGCTGCTTCAAAACAAGTTGTACTAATGTACTGAGAGCGACTCAAAGTAGTGTATACTTTGTAGGGAGTGGTAAAAAAAACTTGAGTAGTAACAGAAGATGGGGAGAAGGTTTGTTGGACTTCATTGCAGAGCCACAGGCGCTGCTTTGGAAAGAAAGTCTCTGGTTGCAACATATGGTGTGGTTTTAGCCCCAGTTGGTAATACAGGACAATGGGGTGGCTCACTGAAAAGGACCAAACATAATACCAGGAGAGGGATTGATTTCATGCTCTGACTGGGTTGTGAGAATTCAGATTAGGAGACAACAGTGCCCCACAAGAAGACTTTTACTTTCCTTACAGCTTTTAATAGGGTGTGACTGGGTATGGGAGGAAGAGTCTTGAGTGTAGTGTGCTTGAAAACTAAAAATTGAGCAACTGAAGTAAGTGATATATACTGATAAGGCTATAGACTTAGCATGTAACCTTGCCTAAAATACAGCTGTGAAGTATCCAGTGCTTATATCCAGTGCTCAGAATGGTTGTATGCCAAAATTGGTTCATCAGAATGTGAGATTGGGGTAAGATAGAAAGAAGAGTTGCTGAAAGTACATAGTTTGTTTGACTGATAAAAATTTCTCAGGGAAACAAGTTCACAGAGCAACAGAGAAGGAAGGTAAGTATAGGATGTGCATTAAAAAGAGGTACAAACAGGTGGCACAGACATACCTCATCTAGAATGGTCTCCTTGTCTTGTTTTGCCTAATGCCCTCTGGCCAACACATGGCTTAAATAGCTTGTCTTTAGAAGAGCAACACAGTAAACCCTAGTTTTCCTTTGCCGGTTGACCACGTTTTAGATCTTTCCTTTCTCTGTCTTTCCGATCTATAGTAAATGTCAACTCAGGCTTTCTAGTGAATGAATTGTAATGAAAAATGAACCACTGATTGCTATTCTTGAGACCAAAGTGACCCTAGTTATGTTTCAATGCCTGTGTGTCCAGTTATTGTTGGAAATAGTCATTAGTATTCACTGCCCTGGCTTTGTACAGGTGGTTGGACCAGATGACTTTCCTGGTTTACTTTTCAACATAAACTATTCTATGACTTGAGAACATTCACTGAGGCAAAAATATGTATTCTTAAAGCTATAATAAAGCATATATAATACATCTCACTTTCTTCACCCCAAGATTCATTATAACTAGTTCTGAACCACTCCTCCACTGCATAAAACTTTTTTGGAAACACCAGGTGATTCTTATTTCAACTTCTGCATTAAATGGCTGAAACTAGAACACAAAACACTAAAAATGTCAAATTTTTTCTCCTCTTTAAAGGGAAAGGCTATTTTCCTAAAAATGTTTGGATATGAAGTTGCTGGTTTAAAACAAAATTTTAGTCTTTTAACTAAGGTTAGGGAAGACTGTTGTAATTGTAGTCATTATAGACTAGATGTTTTTAATGTCACTTGTTCAATAACCTCTTACTAGTTACAGATACCTAGAAACATGCTTCAGTGGAGAGGAGATGTGTAAATGACTTACCTACCACCTAAAGTCTTTCTAAAACAGCCTACACTTTTCAGCTTTGAAAAATAGTGTTGTTCTCTTTAGATTTTTCCCATTGGGTTTGTTAGCTCTAACTGTGTCTATAAAGGCCTTCTTGTCTATAACAAACTGCTTTTTTCCAGGGGAGCGATAAGTACATCGTTTGTAGTGACACCAGAGCACAGCTGAGATTTCTTGAAAAGCTTGATCACCTAGAGAAGCAGAGAAAAGATGAAGAGGAACGTGAAATGTTGCTTCGAGCAGCCAAGGTAAGATTCTTGCTTTCCAAGGAAGTAGTCATGTCCTCTAGATTGGTGAATGTCTTCAGGTTCCTCCTATTTCTGTTTTTAAATGTAGAAACCATTAACCCTGTTCCTGAAAATTCATAATGTTTAGGACAATTTAGGCTTTACAGAAAAGGATTTAGCGTATTTACACATTTAAAAAAAAACAGGAGTTCTTTGAAATGTGTGATGGGGTGAACTCTGCTTTTGAGATTATTCCTACTGGTCAAAATTAAATAAAAAGCCAAAAATGTCCTTCCTGGATCTATTTTTGGCTCTGAAACTGAAGGCTGGTGAGATCCACCACCCTGCCAGATGTATTTATTTTCTGTAGTCAAGATCAGAGGGCTAGCCCAGCATCCATGAAGCCCTGATGAAGCTGTTGTAGTATAGAATAAGTACCTTTCTTCTCCCTTCTCTTTCCTCAAGAAGAGAAGCAGGAAAAAAATTCTATAGATGTCGCTCTATCAGGTGAGGCTTGATCATCTTCTGTGTGGGGTTTGTTTGTTTTCAGTCCGAATTCTGGAGCCCCTTGGATGGAAACCTAATCTAGAGTTGAAAGAACTGTGTTGGGCTTGCACAAATACAACTCCCTTTCTTTCCTATACTTCCTGTCCTTTTTAAGTGTCTGCTGCTGACATGAACAACATCATGCCTCGACTGGACCTGACTGACAGTGTTAGCATCATTTTCAGCTTAATCTTGCTTCAGGCTACAGCAGAGGCAGCCGGCCCAGATGAGGAGGGGTGTGCACGTATGTGCATGGAGGGGGATGGAAGCCAGTCTGGATTGAGGCATTCACCCCTGGAGCTAAATCTTTCAATCACCAGAGAAAATTGTCATTATTAAATATTTAACGGATACGATGGTGTTTGGATGCCAGTAATTTCTGTTCAATCTTTCTCCTCTTGCTTTGCTAGAGCCGTTCCAATAAAGAAGATCCAGAGCAACTGCGGTTAAAGCAGAAAGCGAAAGAGGTAGGACTTTCCAGTTACCATGCTTGCCTTTGTGTGTTGAGAGAAGGTTGGCAGCCCTGTCCTGGCAATTAGGTCAGGGTTTATTTTGCTGCTGCATACCATTTGCAGAGGCCTTGGGGAAGGACAGGAACTGCCACAGGCAAGGGCAGTGCTTCAAATGAGGTCAATGAATTATGAGCTCTCTTTTTTTAACATTTTATTTTTTGCAGTTTCAGTCCTGTCTAGAAACAGTCCTTTGTAAACTGCAGCAGTACACTTGTTAGGAATATAATGTGGGATTAGGAAAGAAAAAAAAAAAAAAAAGAAACTTTGAGATTTAGCATCTGGGACTGTACAATAGGCTACATTTTTCCAGGGTAATTGTTCGTTTTGTAAATCTGATACTGCTTATAATTCTTTGGCTGGGAGGCGGTACTGGGATTTAGTTTTAAATGGAAAACGCCTCTGGCTTTTAATTTTCTGGGCCCAGCAGTTTTCTGTTCTGGAATGGAGCCCTTGTTTCACACAGTTCATGTTTAGCTGCAGGGGTTTTAGTTTATAGCTTAGACTGGTTAAGCTTTTACTCCCAGAGGCCTCTGCATAGCAACTGTAGAAATCAACAAATAAGTTCATTTATGTCTGCAGCCTCCTCTCAGTAGCTGACTTTTTACATTTCCCAATATCCATTTCCTGACTTTTCTAGCCTGAGAGAAAAAAGCTCCACTAATTGGAGCTTATTTTAATTGAGCCTTAATATTGGATCTCACTGGAGTTGCCCCCAGAGCTACTGGGAACAGAATGAAATGAAAGTACCTGAGGTTGAAGATGTGTGTGCGTGTGTATGTGTGTGTGAAATTTTTCACTTGACCTACAGATTCTTTTCCCTGCTGAATAAATCATCAAGCCTGTTCACATTTCTGATTAAGGATCTGACAGCAGACGATAATAAAGACAATTGAGGTGTGAGACGTGTGATACAGAGCTGAAGAAATTGGTTTCTATAGTTACTTGACTGATTTCATGCAATTTTTAAGGATCTTTGTGCTAAATGAGAGTGATTTTTCTGAGCAACCTTTTTCCTTAACTGTGCCTCTTGAACTATGAAATTTGTTGTTGCTTAACATTACTGCATTTGGCTCCTAGGTGCCAGCAGCAGCAGCAGGTTATTTATGAATGCTTTAAAGGCCCTTATTGTTTGGATTAATGTAGGAGTCCAGGCAAAACAAATGGAAATCCAGTAAAATAGTATTCGAATCAATGCTCTGGATTTGCACCATAGAAGAAGAAATTTGTAAAATAAGAGAAGGAGCTTGCTTTACTGTCTATCTTTTAATTCTTTGTTTCTGCTTACAACTCTTTCTTCATTCCTACAATCTGTGAGTACAAAGTTGCCCTAAAGCCCTTTCCAAGTTGCCTCTAGTGCCACCAGGATCAACAATCAGTGGGTGATGCTAATCTGTCTTGTTTTGTAGGTGACTTTACCTCTGCATCATCTGATTGTTTCTAGACATTCTTTCTTTTATTAAAAGACTGCAAAGTAATTCATTTATGCAGCTTCTTTTCTCTTGTTCTATGAACAATAACGTGTAGGATCTTGAAAAATACTCTGTATAGGTATGTGTTTTGGGTCTCTTTTTAGATTAGTTGGTATTGTTAATGAGATTTCTTTTAAAAAGTAGCATGTGGGTGTACAAAAAAGGAGCCAACAGAGCGAAGAAGGCATGTAAGTTTAGTGCTTGGTGTTCTACTGTGTGTTGAGTTCACCTCCTTCATCTTATCTTGTGCCAGGCTAACACAGCCTGCATCACATTTGTCCTGCATGTTTCTCCATGCTGTGCTGCTCCCAGAGTGACAGTCTCCAACTGCTTCACCAAAAAAAGAGGAGACAAATGTGCCTCTTGAGAAAACGCAGATCTTTGTGCTTGTATTTCCTTGCCCTCTGTCCTGTTGCTTTGTTCTCCACAAAATGAGTCAGCCAGAAGCTTCTCCAGGCTTGACATGGAGAATGGATAAACCCACCTTTTGTGCCTGTGATGTTTTCTTATCTGTGAGCTTGAGTGGATATGAGAGCAAATGCGGCTGGAAAAATGTAGCACTTTATTGACAGTTTGGAGATAAATGGTCAGCACACATTTGCATTAAAAAAATGCAAACATGAATAGATCTGAAATAAGCAAAATAAAAATCAATGAATATTCCAAGACTAAAACTGGTAACTAAAGCATGGTGAATACTGGGATGAAGGTCTGAAATGGCTTACCCTTGTCTGTCTATCTTGTTATGTTGCGATTATAGTTTGCTCATAAGAAACCAAACTTGGAAACTTTGATACCTCTTTCAGCTGGAATCAGATCTTTTCCAGGTCAGTCTGGTTAAGTATCCACTGGAAAGCCTGATCTGATTGTCCACTTGTAGTTCTTTAAGGAGGAATGTGGACCTGCCTTCATCAAAGCTCTTTTATATCTTTATGGTAACCCCGGGGAGAAGGGAGAATGTGTGGGGTAATGGCACTGTAGCATGTTCTAAAGCAAAGTTTCCCAAAATGCAGGGTGTACATCCTAACAATGAATACTTATAAATCCAGGATGTGCTGTCATCCAGCAGCTGGAGGCAATGTCTTAACATTGCTGGAAGTACATCCAGAGACTCTGCAGTGGATTCTTTTATCCAAAAGGCTATACATAATTGCTGTGACCTTTTCATCCCTTTTTGCATGACCTATTGCCTCAAACTTCCCCTATGCTAAGTCATTTACTTTCCTATATTCTTAGTCTGTGTAGCCTGCTATGAATTAAGTCTTTATTTACTTCCCCCTTTCACCTGTTTCGGCAGATTTTAATACCTATGGAAAGTGCACATTTCTTCAGAGACAGCTGCAAGGTTAGCCCCAAGCTGCTGCTTTGTGCACTCAAGGATTTTGTCCTTACTCTCCTCATGGACCAGCTCTTTGTGCAACGGTGTTCCTGAAGTCTGGGTAAATTAACCCTGTTTTTCATTGTGCCTTATCTGCCTCTTCAGACTGAGAGGATACAGGCTTCTCATTATCGCTGATGCTTGCACTATTAAACCATAACTTTTTTAGGTGGTTTCTGCTATTTCCTGTTCTACTCTCTGCAATAATTTCAGTTAAAAAGAAAATGCTCAGTCAATACAATTCTTGAAGCTGTATTTGTAGTTCATTTGTGGCTTCATCCTTTTTGTGAAATGAGCTTACGTAAATTGAGTAGCAGTTGTAGGATACTGTCAAATGTGCAAGCAAGTCATCTGAACAATGTGTCCCAGAAGACCTGTAAAAATGTCTGTATTAAACAGTGTTAAAATTCTATAATTTTAAATGTAAACCTGATCTCTTAGAGTCATTGAGGTTGGAAAAGACCTCAAAGATCATCAAGTCCAACCAGCACCGCCAAGTCTTAGACCACAAGTAAACCATGACTCTACCTGCTGCATTTACACATCTTTTAAATACCTCCAGGGATGCTGACTCAGCTGCTTCCCAGGGCAGCCTGTTCCAATGCTTGATATCCCTTCTTAGTGAAGAAATTTTTCCTAATTTTTTTGTACTTCTGTCCCTCATCTTCAAAGTGAGTGTGCTTTTGTAGTATGGCTTCAGGAAGCTTAAGGCTGAGCCTGGACAAACCTTTCAGAATATATGTGGGCAAAGTTGCTGCTTTGGGTTGAGCAGGTGAACAGGTGTTTTACTGATTGCATCTTTGCTTATTTCCAGAGTAGCTACCTTTATCTCTGCTCTTACCTTGTGTCACTTTGCAGCATCTATCAGTGGATAAAGGTGAGCAGCTTCATCTTGAGCAAGGGGAAGAAATGGGCGGAGCAAGCACCTGATGGGCAGCAGATCTGCCTGCCCTATTCCTTGCTCCATCAGCATCTGTGTTCACCTACAAGTGCACAGATCTTCCCATTCACTTGTTCCTGCCTGCTTGACACACTTGTGCATTTTTTTGACACAGATACAAGGCAACAGTAGATGAGATGCTGAGAAAATTCAATACCTTTAGTATCAACTGACGGGGAGGAAAATAGCAAACCCTAGGGTTTTTGTAGAGATTGAACAAAACCTATAAAAAAAATCAAACAGAGAGTCAGCATGATTCCAGTGAGTTCTGGGTGTTACATAGTAATGACTGATTTTTAGTTGTTCTGTAGTATCTTTTTAACAGTCATCTTTTTTTCCTGTTTCATATATCCATCCTAACTCCGTTATTTCCTCTCACATTCTCAGGTAACAAGTAACTGTAACCTGATTCTTTACTGCTCTCCCTACCGCCTCCAACCCAGATTTTTCAAGCTCTTTGTTTCCTTTTTCCCCCCCACACCTCTTGTGCTGCTTCTATATTTAGTCTTCAGGACCTCATGGTTCAAATTCTTTAAGACCGTCCTTGTGGCAGGGGAAAAATTAACCATGACCTCTCAAAAAAGCAAACACAAGATGCTGCAAGCAAAATAAGATCTCATTGCTTTTTATGAGCCTTCAGTGACATCCTGAGAGCTTCTGCTTAATTACCTGATTTATATTATCTTTATTGTTCTGTAGTGTTTCTTGCCTGCTTCTGCATGTTTTTAGAGGGAAAAAAAAGCACTATTATTTAAAAGACATACATTTTGTTAGCTGTAGTGTAGCCCTACAAATAACAAGAGGGCTATCATCAGAGACTTGGTGTGCTACAAGTCTTGCAGAAAATCAGGGATGGAAATCCTGTAAAGCGTTAGATTATTGAGCAAGCTAAAAAGCAAACCAAATGCCTGTTTATGTGACATTCATATTGGTTTTTCGAAGAAACATAAGAAAAGAGCAGCTGAGACACTGCATCGAAAACCACCCTAAAACCATCTGGCTGAAAGATGATAACAACTATCTTTAGTGAAAAACAAACCTCCACAAAACTCCATTAAGCGTGTTTTTGCATTTCCAAATAGCCTTTTCTCAGTTTCTCTGAAAAGATGGAAAATGGACACATAACCAGCTCTAAGTATGGCCTTACATTAGAAACTTGCTAATGGAG